GTCTCGATCTCTTGACCTCGTGATCCACCCGCCTCGGCCTCCCAAAGTGCTGGGATTACAGGCTTGAGCCACCGCGCCCGGCCCAATATTTTGTATTTTTAGTAGAGGTAGGTTTTACCATGTTGGTTAGGCTGGTCTCGGTCTCCTGACCTCATGAACCACCTGCCTCAGCCTCCCAAAGGGTTGAGATTACAGGCATAAGCCACCATGCCCAGCCAAAAGCCCAAATTTTAAATCATCATTTGATGCTGGGCTGGGGATTGTGAACAGTGTGGAGTTTTTAGGAAGGTCAGCATGGCCACTGAGGGTGAGGTGCGTTCAGGGGAGCAGGCAGTCAGATGGTGCCTCCGGGAGACTGAGGTCCATTGTGAGAGGGTTCTGGGTGGGCTGTGGGCTATGGGAGGATGGGACAGACAGGATAGAGACCACTGGAAAATCGGCAGGACTGCTTGACCTCCTGGCCAGGCACAGTGGCTTATGCCTGTAATCCCAGCACTTTGGTAGGCCGAGGCAGGCGGATTGCTTGACGCCAGGAGTTCAAGACCAGTCTGGCCAACATGGTGAAACTATGTCTCTACTAAAAATACAAAAATTAGCCGGGTATGGTGGCACACACAGGTAACCCCAGCTACTGAGAAGGTTGAAGCTGGAGAATCGCTTGAACCTGAGAGGCAGAGGTTGCAGTGAGCCAAGATCAAGTCACTGCACTCCATCCTGGTCAACAAAGCCAGACTCTGTCTAAAATAAATAAATAAATAAATAAAATAAAGAAAGAAAGAAAACAAAAAGAAAAATGGGCAGGACTGGTTGACCTCCCAAATATTGGCTGTGAAAACAAGGACAGCTCCAAAATGTTGAACCTGGAAAGAGGGGACAGCAAGGGAGGGTACAGGCAGCTACTGCAGTCCAGAGCAGTCAGGAAGTGTGGCTTCCCATCCCTTCTTAGTGGGTGGATACTCACTAAGTCTTTGTCAGATGAATGAATGAATGAGTTGTATGATCTTGGACAAGTCATATGATCTTACATGATCTCTGGGTCTCATTTTTTTCATGTGTTATATGAAGGGATTGAAATGGAATGTATAAAACAGAGAGGTACTTGGCTGAATGCAGTGGCTTATGCCTGTAATCCCAACAATTTGAGAGACTGAGGCAAGAGGACTGCTTGAGGCCAGGAGCTTGAGACCAGCCTGGTTAATATAGTGAAAACCTTGTCTCTTAAAATATGTGTTTTTTAAATTTAAAAAATAGGCTGGGTGCAGTGGCTCATGCCGGTAATCTCAGCACTCTGGGAGGCTGAGGCAGGCAGATCTTCTGAGGTCAGGAGTTCGAGACCAGCCTGGCCAACATGGTGAAACCCCATATCTACTAAAATACAAAAGTGAGCCAGATGTGGTGGTGGGTGCCATAATCCCAGCTACTAGGGAGGCTGAGGTAGGAGAATCGCTTGAACCCAGGAAGCAGAGGTTGCAGTGAGCGGAGATCGCACCACTGCACTCCAGCCTGGGCAACAGAGTGACACTCTGTCTCAAAATAATAATAATAATAAGCTGGGCTCAGTGGTTCATGCCTGTAATCCCAGCACTTTGGGAGGCCAAGCTGGGTGGTTCACCTGAGGTCAGGAGTTCGAGACCAGCCTGGCCAACATGGCAAAACCACGTCTCTACTAAACATACAAAAATTAGCCGGGTGTAGTGGTGGGCACCTGTAATCCCAACTACTGACACTGAGGCAGGAGAATTGCTTGAACCTGGGAGGCAGAGGTTGCAGTGAGCGGAGATGCACCACTGCACTCCAGCCTGGGCGACAGGGCGAGACTCCATCTTAAAAATAATAATAATTTTTTAATTTTTTTTAAATATTGGGGAAAAAGGGAGAGGTACTCTCACGGAAGGAGTAGGAGTTCTTCCCATCCTTAGGGCCTCTCTGGGTACCCCAGAACAATGATTCCAACCCTGGCTGTAGGCTGCACTAACGAAGGCCCCACGTAAGACCACTTATTCTAGAATCTCCGGAGATGGGGCTGAAGCACAGGTAGTTTTAAGGCTGCCCAGGTGGCTCTGATATGCAGCTGGTTGAGAACACTTACCCTGGAGCCTTGAAAACCCCCGGGCTAGGTAAGGGCTGAGATCCCTGCCAGGCCTAGGCACTCAGAATGCGACTTGTGGTTGGCGACAAGCCTCTCTTCTCATGTTCCATGTCCCACATTCCATTCCCAAACCAGACACTCCTAATAGGCAGGGCACCAAAAACCAGAGTTTCTCAACCAGGCTCTGACATTTTCTTTCTTTCTTTTCTTTTTTTTTTTTTTGAGATGGAATCTCACTCTGTCAGCAGGTGGAGTGCAGTGGCACGATCTTGTCTCACTGCAACCTCCTCCCAGGGTCAAGCAACTCTCGTACCTCAACCTCCCAAGTAGCTGGGATTACAGGTGCCTGCCGCCACACCCAGCCAATTTTTGTATTTTTAGTAGAGAGGGGGTTTCACCATGCTAGCCAGGCTGGTCTCGAACTCCTGACCTCATGATCTGGTCACCTCAGCCTCTCAAAGTCCTGGGATTACAGGCATGAGCCACTGTGCCTGGCCTCTTTCTTTTCTTTCTTTCTTTCTTTTTTTCTGACTCCCTTTCCTGGTAAACACTGACATTTTGAACGGGATGATTCTTTGTTGTGGGGACTTTCCTGTGCGTTGTGGGATGTTTAGCTCATCTCTAGTCTCTACCCACCAGAGGCCAGTGACACATCCCCAAGTCAAAACAATACAAAACCACTCCAGATGTTGCAAAATGTGTACTGGGGTGCAAAATCACCCCCATCTGAGATGCACTGTGCTACTCTGAGAGTCTCCCATTTTTCCTCTGCCCTCTCCAGTTGCAGACAGAGGCCAGGCAGGGGCAGAGACCGTGAACAGCAGGTTTAGTTGGGCCTGGCAGGACAGAGGCCTCTGAGGAAGGCCAGGGTTTCACTGTGTTAACACGATGGAGGGAGGGATGCCAGCGAACCAACTGATGTGGTCTCACTCCAGCGGAGTGAGTTTTCCAGAACACGCATTCCTGGATTCCCAATCAGTCACAAGAGGGCCTGGAGTCGCTTCTGGGGCAGTCGCCCCCACTTTCCGGGAACAGGCAGAAGGGGGTGTGGGCGTGGTGGGAGTGGTGTAGGGGATTCTTTCCTTCTGTAGATATTTTCCTGGCATTGTTGACAGCGCTGTCTGATTGGTTGAGGGCCAGAGGGGAGGAACTTTCCAGCTGTGGGTGCCTGGGTTCCTGGGAGGCCGTCAGACCTGGGATTGTGGGGATGTCTGGGTTTTTTGGGATTTTCTTGTTTTTGCATTATCTCACCAACCAGAAGCAGGGATGTCTGGGTTTTAGGATCTGGAAGACTGTCTTTGGAGCTGGGACTAAGGGGCTGGCTGGTTCCCCTCCAAGGGATGTGGAAGTTGGGAGTGCACACTCCTTAGAGCTGGAGGCTGGGAGGTTTTCAGTGTCTTCATAAGCTACTTTTTGCTTGGAGGTGGTGAGACCTGAGGGAAGATGGAGGATGGGAAGCCTAAGGGAGGGGCCTGGGAGGGGTGGAGGGAGGGTGGGCGGTGGAAGGCACTGGTCAGGGTAGGATCCCCATCCTTATCCCCAAACTCACTCCACCAGGAGGCTCAGAACACCCAGAAGCAGGACAGCTCCGAAGACGGAGAGGAGCAGAATCTTGGCTTCCCAAAGATCATGACTTCCTGCAGGGAACCCAGGAGGCAGCGAATAATTCTGGGACCCACACTCACCAGTTGGGGAGCCCAAGGACTCAGGGATCTGGGCAAGGGTGGGCATGAGGACCTGGGAAGCAGCGCTTTCGAGGCCAGCAGGACACCTCGGTCCCCTTGCAGGTAGAGCAGTTGTACAGCACGGTGCTGCCCCCTGCAGGAGACAGCAGGGGCAGCGCTGGGGAGGGGAGGCCGGGCCTCCACCCCGCCCTGTACCCAGCTTCCTCCCAGGCCCTCCTCTGACACCCTGCAGGCCCCAGGTCCTTGCAACCCCTTTCCTTTCCTACTCACGGCAGGCCGGGGGACAGAGAGCTGCAATGAAAGACAAGGAAGGGGCGGGAGTGTGAGTGGATGTGCTGCTCACCACACACCCCTTTGCCTGAGACCCTGGGCTCCCCTCGAGGCCACCCGGCGTCAGTACCTTCCCTTGTGTACTCAGGGAGCTTGGTGTTTTGAAGCCATCTCCAATATGAAGGGAGTGAGGAAAGAGCCTCTTTGATCTCTGAGGAGGCAGAGCAGCTCCGTTGGGCCTCGACGGGGCCAGTTCCCTCTCCCTTCATGCAGCCCCCTCCCGATCAGGCTTCCCGTCTCCACCCCTCCACTTTCCCTGCCCACCCCCCAGCCCTTGTTGCCCACCCCTGTCTTTGGTGTCTACCCAAGCCCCTAGGTCACGCTTTCCCCTTCACCTCACCCATGACCCTCAGGACTCTGTGAGTCTTCTCTGTGACTTTGTTCATAGACACCTCATCTGTGGAGATGGGCAAGAACCATCGACTCCATCACCAGCCCAGGGTCTGGGGTCTCTCCTGACTTTCCCGTATATGGCACTGTCTCAGAGGGAGAGACCAGCATGTTCGGAAAGGGCCACAGATGGAGGGCACAGCTGGGAGGTCACATGCCACCCTTTGGGGGTACGGGGGCGACTGTTTACTGGGCCCATCCTCGAATGTCTGGTCCCACCTAAGGCAAAGGCCGAGAAGTCCGGGGAGGCCCCACATTCCTTCTGCCCGGCCTCCGTCTGGCTGCAGAGCCGAGCCAGGCGGCCTGACAAGTCGTGGGCTGGGAGGCGGCAGAAGACACAGGCCTGGGCGGCTGCCAGGAAAACCCCGCCTAGTGCCAGCCTCCACATGAGGACCACAGGGGGGTGGGGCAGGGCTGCCCCAGCTGGACCAAGGAATGCTCTGCAGCCCTGGCTCCAGCCCTTGCCTGGAGGTTCTAGAGTGTTCCAGAACAATGAACAATGCCACGACCCATCCTCAGCTGGGGTAAAGCTGGGGCTCAGGAAACTGGGGTCCCGAAGGCCTCTCCAGCAGGCGATGGGCAGAGAAAGCAGGCTTCTGTGGTGCAGGGACAGCACCCTCAACCTGGCCCTCAACAGCCTTCACAATTTTGTGGTTCCAAAAGCCATTTTATTTTTCTTCTTGTAAATCATGACCAGTGATAAATAATGTGTGACACCCCCAGTGAAGAAGCTGCGCAAGAGTATCCCATCCGCTCAGGGAGCCAGAAATCCCATCCCTTCCCATCTCCTCCCCCACGGCCCCAAACTCTTGTCTCCTCTCTCTGCCCTGGGCCGCCTTGGGCCTTCCCAGCTATCTCCTAGCAACAGGGCCATGGTTGCCACAGCAACCAAGAGTTCCATACAGGCCTCAGAGGCCCAGCTAAGCCCAGTGACTTCTCTTACCTCTCACGGGGAAGATCCCAGTGACTCAAACCCCAACAGGCCCCTCCTGGCTACGTGGTGATGCATATGCATGCGTGCACGTAAACACATACACATACATCCTGTGATTAAACGACTAATTGTCAACCTCCTCACATACACACTACAGATACACCCTGGGCCAGAATAGTTGCTGGGTAACCCCAAACAGGCCTGGACATGCAGACATCACAGACACTGTAGTCAGCAACACAGATGGGAACCAGGATGCCAGGGACCTCTGCATCAGTCAGACACACTGGCTGATGTGCAGGCACACATGAAGGAAGCCCAAGGACTCAACAGATACTACCCTCTTCCCCATGGCCGCCCCACCATCAAGATGGGATCCTTCCAGATGAGGGATGCTCCAGCCCCATTGCCATGGGGACTCTCCCAGCTCCCGTACATCAACTGAGGGTGGGATGTGGCCTTTCTGTCTCCCTCAGTAGATGGCTTGGAACACAGCAAAGAACCCCTCTTCCCTTGTTCCAGAGTGTTCTGGCATCTCATTGGTCAGGCCAGGCCACCCAGCTTCAGGAGGAGAGGCCATGGTCCAGGAGACCGCATGGGGCAATGCCAAGTCCTCCCTCTTCCCCAGACCTCAATATCCTTCCAGTGTTTTGCCAGGCTTAGTCTGGGTAAAGAGGTGTTCCCCACCCTTCCAGGCCCTTAAACACTGAGCTCCAATCAAGGAGAGATTGGAGGTCCCCAGCCTTAGGTGAGAACAACCAAGAGAACCTTCCTTGCCTCTCCGAGGATCTGCACCAGTCGAGACCTTCTGGACCCCTGTGAGTCCTTGGTGGGCTCAGGTTTGGGAATTTCTGCCCAGATCTGAGCTTCAGTCAGGTGCAGGGGAGTCCTGACTCTCATAGCTCCTGGAGCAGAGCTGGAAAGAGGCTTCAGGGGTGCCAGTACCCCATTAACTGCCCCATTCCCTCTCTTCCCAGAGTCAAAATGAGAACCGCGTCCTCAGTGCCGGACAAAGCGCAGAGACCGGGAGTTGAGCAGGTCTTCAGGGTCGGGGAAGACAGAGTCTAGGCGGAAGCCATGCTCGAGAGCCACCCGCAGCACCTCCTCCAGGAAGCTTGGCGTGCCCACCACCTCCCGCCGCTCTCCTGGCCCCCCAGTCCACAGTGGCTGCAGTCCCAGTCTCCCATACTCCGCCTCCGGGAGTTCCACGGGGCAGGGGGCCCACTCCAGATGAAAATGTGGGCTCCCCTCTGCCCTATCCCCGCTGGCCACACCAAATCGGGCCCGCAAAGCACCTAGACACTCAGGATCAGTGCAGAAGAGGTTGGCTCGGAAGGTGTCCACCTGGACGGAGCTCAGCTCATAGTGATGGGGTCCCCGGCGATCAGAGAAGTGCACGAGGCGGGGGCTGACGTCTACATCTGCGTGGAGCAGGGCAGCTGTGGATGCAGGGGTCCCCCGAGAGGCCTCCAGTTCCCGCAGCGCGTCCAGGAGGGGCCGGATCTGGTAGAAGTCAGCCTCTGCCTTGAGAAGCGCTGTCTCTCCATACCCGAGGGGCAGGTCCAGACGGCCCAGCCTCAGGAAATTGAGGATGTGCCGGAAGGCCTTGCCATCCCGGTCGATGAAGTAGTGGCCGCCTCCTTGGGAATTGAGGTTTGGGGGCATGGGGGTGCCGGCCCTAAACATAGCCCCCAGCATGGAGTCTGGGAAGCGGGTCAGGGTCTCCAAAGTGGTGGAATATAGTGTGCCCCCCACATTTAGGGTCACGGGGCCCCCAAAGGAGGGGGGCGAAGAGGGCACAGGAGGAGGAGAAATTTTGGGAAGTACAGGAGACACCGAAAGAAAAGAAAAGGCACAACTTCCTGGATGTGCGTGCAGAATTGGGTCGAAACTGTCAGGCTCGCTGGGTTGGAGGCACAGGCGGAGCACAGGCAGTAAGGTCTGGGGCTCGCCCGGGTTACTTTGGTGGTGGATAGGGGGTTGGTCTCAGGGAACAGAAATTCCTGAAAGGCTGAGAGAAGGGATGAAAAAAGCAGAGGGCAGCCAGAGAGGGGAAGGGAGCTTGAGGTCTGGACGTATCCGATTTGCGGTGGTCAGCGACTCTCCTCTGTGCTCTTCAGAGAGTGGGTTTCCGGAATCCAACCAGCAGGTGACGGTGGCGAGCACAGGGCCGACTCTGAAGGGCTGGCTTCGGAGACCCCGGGCAGATCGTTGCCGCCGAGGTCGAGTCCACCCAGGGCTCTGGGGCCACTCCGAGGCCAGGCCGGGCTGCCGGCGCGGGTCGCAGAAGATGGAGGCGGAACTGACGGGAGCGGATGGCGGAGCCGCCTTGTATCCACCGGGTGGCGACGATGCGTACTCAGCCCGAGCTGGGAGTGTCCGAGCGCTCTGATGAAAACAGCCGGGAGTCTCGGTACCCGGCCGCCGCCGCCTTCCCCGGGTGTCGCCGAAGCCGCTGAGGTCCTCTCCGCCCCCAGGAAGTGGCCTGAGCGCAGCGGCCCGGGCCCCTTTAAGAGACAGCCCCGCCCCGCCCTCGCCCCCGCCCCCGTGCGGCTCTTGGGGGGTTGTGGGGAGAGTCTCGGACGGGAGAGACGGGGCGGACTGGCCGGACTGGCGCACGCCGAGGGGCAGGTGACTCAGTCGCGTCGCCCCGGATGTGGCCGCGACCGCCCCGCCGCCGCTCAGGTGTGCCCAGCCTCACGTCTGCAGCTCTGCGGGGCTGGAGCCTCTAATCCCGCCGCTCAGAGCCCGAGGCCGGCCCGGGGGCCGCGTCCCTCCCAGCGGCTCCCGCGGGGAATTCCCGAGGGGGCGGGTGCTGAGCCGCGGCATTCCGGGGATGCCTCTCTACCGGGGCGGCCCCGGCGCGCGCTCTCGGCGGCCGCGCGGGCCCGTGAGCTCCAGGGCCGGCCCCACCCCTCGGCAGGACGGGGCTGGCCACGTCGCCCGAGCCCGAGAGCACCCGCCCCGCAGCGCCCGGGCCGCGGCTGAAGCTGCCGCTTCGCTCCCCGGGGTCGCCCCTTGCTGGACTCGAGCTCGCAACGCCCCAGCCGCTCCCCGAACCCCAGGAGCTGCAGCGCCCAACACCCTGCGGGCCCGAAGGTGGCGCCCAAGAAGTGAACCAGAAGAAAAGAGCGAAGCACACTGGCTTTAATGGCGGAGGGCCCAGTGGCGGGGAGGAGGGGGGAGGGAGGCGCGGGTCGCGAAGGCCTGGGGTCACAGTGTGTGGAGGTCGTGACTGCGCCGGCTCAGCTTCTCCGGGTCGTCTGACGCCATGAGGGAGAAGTCTCGGAAGATGTCTAGATACGTCTCATCTCCTGGGGGAGGGAGGGAAGGCTGGGAGGCGTCTGGGCCCCAGTGCGGAAGGGCAGAATGGCTGGGCCCTGGGCCCGCCTGGGGACCTCGCGCTCCAAGCGTGGGTGGGAACGTGCGCGCCGCGCAGTGCCTATGCTTTGCCCTATTCGAGGGCCTGGCACGTCGGACACACCCAATACGCATTTATTAAATAACGGAATGAATGCAGTCAGGCACTAGGGAGAGAGGTCACCGTGGACCAGAAGCGCAGAGTTCAGGTGCTGTGTCTAGGGGGTGGGGTGGGTGGATTCTTTACCTGCCTGGCCCTGGGCCGCTTCAGCCTCCCTCATTTTTGCCAGTCGTAGCCTGAACGGGAGGGAATTAAGAAATGAACGACACTGTACTCATCTCCCCGCCCAACTTCCCATTCTTCCAGCTGGGTCGCGTTTTGTTCATCTGCCCACCGGGGTTCTAGGGCTAAAAAGATGCCTGACAGCAATGTTGATGCACGAATGACGCCTCTCAGGGTGGGCTGAGCATCCTTGCACCCCGCCTGCCCGCCTGCCTTCTACTCCACGTCCCATTGCACACTTGGAGCAGCCTTTCTCGTTCCTGGTCCCAGCGCTGGCCTGGCCATTCCCCAGGTCCCACCGAACGTGGGCGGGTAGAGGTGGGATCCCAGCACCAGCCCCACCCCTTCAGGCATTCTCACAGGGTGACGATGTCAGCATTAGCTGTTTCCATGGCGATGGTCAGAGGGTCCCTGCCTTCAGAGTCTTGAGCCCCCAGATCAGCCCCCCGTTTCAGGAACAGGCAGGCGAGCCTGGAGAGAAGAGCCAGAGTCAGACGGCCACCCAACTCCTCCCAGCCTTCCTCCCCATGGCCGTCATCCCTACCCCGTGTGGCCAAGGATGGTCGCGTGGTGCAGCGGGCCCCGGCCGGCACTGTCCGCTTGGTTCACGTTCGCCCCGTTCTGGAGGAGAAACTCACAGGCCAGAAGAGAATTCTGCATGGAGAAGTCGACAAGGGGGTTAAGGGTGGCATCCTCAGTGGTAGAGTTCAAGATGTCTTAGGATACGGCCAGTTCAGAGAATGGAAAGGTGGGGTATGTTCAGGAGCGTGGAAGGGGTTACAGCTGTCAGGCTTGGCTCTAGCTCTTTGCACGTATTTATATGTAAATCTAGTACAAGCTTATGAGGTATGTTATCCTGTTTTTTTTTT